TTGGTGCATACGCTCTCAGTGTACATAAAAGAAAAGATACGTTCATCAAGAATCATAAGGTACAACACTTAACGATAGTCATAGGATACAAATAAGCAATCAGGAAACAATATCAATATAAATCGTAACATAACATAACATAACACAACACAACACAACACAACACAACACAACACAACACAACACAACACAACACAACATAACATAACATAACATGTTTTCATTCTCCTACAGGTAGTCCTCGACTTACAATAGTTCATTTAGCAACTGTTTTAAGTTACAACAGCATTGAGCAAAGCAACCTACAACAGTTTTTCACACTTACGACCCCGTAGACCTGTGATCAAAATTCAGATGCTTGTAAACGGACTCAAATTTACAATGGTCACAGTGTCCAGGGGTCACGCAATCCCCTTTTTGCGACCTTGTGACAAGTGAAGTCGATGAGCAAGCCAGATTCACTTTACAACCGTGTTACTAACTGAACAAATGCAGTGATTTACATAACGTTGGGAAGGAAGGTCGTAAAATGGGGCAAAATTCATTTAACAGCTGTCTCGCTTAGCGAGTGAAATTTTGGGCTCAGTTGTGGTCGTAAGTCGAGGACTCTATTGTTTGTTTCTATTTCGACATCATTAGCAGATAGAAGCATCCAGTACACTCTGACTGACGCTGACAAGCAAGGGTGAAATGTAAAATGTGTTACTACCGGTTCTGTGGGCGTGGCTTGGTGGGTGGGTGGGGTAATGTGACTGGGTGGGCGTGGCCACCTTTTTTTAAAAAAAACTTTTCAAAGTATTTTTTCTAATGCTTTGAAAAGCTTCCCTGCCGATCAGGCAACTCAGCTGGGATTGTCAGAGACTTTTTTTTACAACCTCTTCGGCCAAAAGTTTGCAGAAAAAAATGCTTTGAAAAGCCTCTGATGATCCCAGCTGAGCCGCGCAATCATCAGAGGCTTTTTTTTTTTTTTTTTACTTTTAAAAGCATTTTGTCGTCGGAAGAGGTTGTAGAAAAAATGCTTTGAAAAGTAAAAAAAAAAGCCTCTGATGATCGTGCGACTCAGCTGAGCATGGTGGGGGGAGCACAGGGATTTTTGCTACCGGTTCTCTGAACCACCGGCCACCATCGCTACCGGATCGAGCGATCCGGTCCGAACCGGGAGCATTTCACCACTGCTGAAAAGCTTTAGCAAGGTTGAACCTAGTTAGTCCTTACATGAGAGACCTTTTAAATGTTAGAGCCCTGAGTCCAATTGGGAAGTTTTTTGGGGGAAAACATGTCCTGAAATAAACTGATGGCAAACCATGTCCATGATGAAACTAAGAATGCTTTCACCAGAAAAGAATACCTGGAGTTCAACCGTGGAGTCCTTGGTGCTCTCTGAGCTTGATTTTTTTGCTTGCAGATGTTTCATTACCAAACTAGGTAACATCATCAGTGCTAGAAGGGAGTAGAGTTTGCATGGAGGAGGAAGAGGAGGAGGAGGAGGAAGAGGAGGAGGAGGAGAAGAAGAAGAAGAAGAAGAGGAGGAGGAGGAGGAGGAGAAGTAGAAGAGGAGGAGGAGGAGGAGGAAGAGGAGGAGGAGGAGGAGGGGAGGAGGAGGAGGAGGAGGAGGAGGAGGAGGAGGAGGAGGAGGAGGAGGAGAAGAGGAGGAGGAGGAGGAAGAGGAGGAGGAGGAGGAGGAGAAGAGGAGGAGGAGGAAGAGGAGGAGGAGGGGAGGAGGAGGAGGAGGAAGAGGAGGAGGAGGAGGAGGAGGAAGAGGAGGAGGAGAAGAAGAAGAAGAGGAGGAGGAGGAGGAGAAGAAGAGGAGGAGGAGGAAGAGGAGGAGGAGGAGGAGGAAGAGGAGGAGGAGGAGGAGGAGGAGGAGGAGGAGGAGGGCTGTGAGGTCCTGAGTGTTCTCTGAGCTTGCTTGTTTTCTTGCAGACATCTCATTACTCAAGTGATAACATCCTCAGTGCTAGGGAGTGGTGTTTGTAAAGAAGAGGAGGAAGAGGAGGACTGTGGAATCCTTGGTGCTCTCTGAGCTTGGTTGTTTGCTTGAAGTCTGAGTGTTTCAATTTTAGTGTTTAGGTTATGTGGTTACTGCTGTCGTGGGTGCTTTTGCTAATTCTGGCTCTTCCCAACTTCACAAAAAAATTGAAAGCTTCAAGCATAGTTTCAGCTTGAAAATTATGAGAATCCAAGGCCAAACCACGTCCAAAAAATATTAGGGAATTCCTGGAAGTTTGGCACCCAGACAAATCAGCCATCAGTAGACACATAGGGATAAACCACATTTACACACTATTTGAAGGAGACAGTAAAAAACCCAAGAAGGAGGCAAACAACAAGAACACATCATCTCCAGCAGCTAACATCCAGATAAGCAGGGATTAGCCCCAGACAAACAATCAAGAAAAAAAAAATCCCCTAATTAAGAGCCTATCAAGGAGAAAACCATACTCCTACATATGCTCCTTCAGGCAGGACAAGCTAGAGTATATAAACAGAGAGCAAACACCATACTCCCCAGCACTGATACTGTTACATAGGTGGGTAATGAAATGTCTGCAAGCAAACAACCAAGCTCAGAGAGCACCAAGGACACTATAACTAAAAAAACCTCCATGGATATGTCCCACAGTATCCTCAGGATGGTTAAAAAGAGACAAGATACTGGTCACAAATACCTAAAGTCTCAAGCCCTTTTTTCATTCCATTTCCTCTGTAAATTATTTGAATTATCCCAAAGCTGATTGCTCTAGGAATTAACTAATTATTATAGTGGGAAGCCTTATGCTTTTGTCATTTAAGGCAGCTTTCCCAATTCGGCACAAAAATCTATTCTCAAGATAATTATAATTCCTGCCATCTCCAGACAGCGCGAATCAGTACTGTGTTGACTGAAAATCCCACAGTTCATAATCCTAACATCTGTTCATGTTTTGTAACTGCTGTGGGGTTTTTTTTAAAACATTTTTCAATGTTTTTTTATGTTCTAAGCTGCCCAGAGTCGTTGGATACGAGACGGGCGGCAAATACATTTTAAAAATAAAATAAAATAAAATAAAATAAAATAAAATAAAATAAAATAAAAAATAAAATAAAAATAAAATAAAATAAAATAAAATAAAATAAAATAAATAAAATAAAATAAAATAAAATAATAAAATAAATAAAGTGAAGTGAAGTGAAAAAATTATAAAATAAAATAAAGTACAGTGAAATGAAATAAAATAATAATAATAATATAAAATAAAATATAATAATAAAATAAAATAAAGAATAAAATAAAATAAAATAAAATAAAATAAAAGAATAATTTATTTTATTTATTTATATTATTTTATTGAATTTAATATACCGCCCTACTCCCGAAGGACTAGGCAATGAACAGCCATAGAATAAAACATATAAACACAACTTTAAAATAAAATAAAATGAATTAAATAATTTGGCTGAACAAATTTAAAACCCCAAATAATTTAAAACCAAATTTAAAATTTCCATTTAAAAAGGGGAAAGACTTAGGTCTTTCCTAAGTTTATAATGAAATAAAAATTTTTCTAAAATTTACTAAGTTTATAATAAAATAAATAAAATAAAATATTAAAATGAATGAAATGAAATGAAATAAAAAAATTATAAAATAAAATAAAGTACAGTGAAATGAAATAAAATAAAATAAAAAAATAAATAAAATAAAATAAAATAATAAAAAAAATAACATAACATAACATAACATAACATAACATAACATAACATAACATAACATAACATAACATAACATAACATAACATAACATAACATAACATAACATAACATAACATACAGGTAGACCTTGACTTACAACAGTTTATTTATAGTGACTGTTCGAAAGCTACAAGAGCACTGAAAAAAGTGACTTGTGACCATTTTTCACACTTACGACCGTTGCAGCATCCCCGTGGTCGCCATGATGAAAATTCAGATGCTTGGCAACTGTCTCATATTTATGACAGTCGCACTGTCCCGGGGGACACATGATCCCCTTTTGCAACACTCTGACGAACAAAATCCATGGGGAAGCCAGATTCACTTAACAACCGGGCTACTGACTTAACAACGACAGTGATTCACAACAGCTGTGGCAAGAAAGGTCGTAAAATGGGGCAAAACTCACTTAACAAATGTCTCACTTAGCAACGTAATTTTAGGCAGTAATGGTTGTAACTGTTATGGCCCACCAGCTGCCAGTGGTGCTATGGCGGATGATGAGGAGGTTGGGGAGGAACTTGGGCCAGCTCTGGAGTCTGGGGAAGGCTCTGATGGATGCTCTGCGTCAGACGCAGAGGTAGAGCCAGGGCCGTCCAACATTTCCCAGCCACCGGAGAGGCAGCTGCCTTCGGAAGCCGAGATAAGTGGGGAGGAAGAACAGCTGGAGCCTGTTCCAGATGCCCGTATGCGCAGAGCTGTTAGGAGAGAACAATGGAGAACAAGGAGTTGACTCGGGAAGCCAAGCACACATGGACGCTGAATGGGCCCTCTGTGGCTGGGGAATAAATAGAAGGAAAGGGGAGTGGTGGTCGTAGGAGACAACCGTTCGTATTTCTGAAGATTTTGCTCATTGTGTTTCGTGCCACAGAGACTGCTTGCCAGAACTTTATTTACAGCGTTGCAGCTGGGAGCTCCCGGCCTGGCAATTATCTCAAAGAACTGATAAGGTCTGTTACTGGCAGTTAACTCCTTGAAGGACTCTGGCCTGGACTTTTCATTGTGTGAATGCCATTAATTCACAGGAGATAAATAAAGAGGGGTTACTCGTGACCAGGAGTTTGTTTCTTGCTTCTCCTAAGGCTGGGTCAGAACTTACATCCATCCATCCATACCAAGAAGGGGCAAAACGGATTTAGAAGAGGTGATAGAAGAAGTAGAGATTGTTCTTCTCAAGGAAAACTATTTTCTGCTTTAACAAATCTTGCTGCAATTATTATTATTGTTTTTTAATCATGTCTCATGACGTTTTAACTGATTCTCTTTAGGTCTCCCTGCCTTGGTGGTTGCAATCTCTGTGGGATTTACTAAAGCCAAGGGCTACGGCACCGGGAACTAGTGAGTAAGCAATTCTTCCTTTCCCTTTCTGTCCAGCAATAGGAGTAATTCAGATTTGATAACGGGTAGCCATTGCCATTGAGGAATCATCGCTTATTCTCTAGCCAGTCTTCTCCGCGTTGCATCTCATGAGTTCCATCATTTTCCTTTGCATATGCTAAATTCTCCTTTTCTTCTTCTTCCTTGCCTAGCTGTTGGCTCTCTTTGGAGGGAGGCCTGCTCTATGCCTTCGTGGGACCGGCGGCTGCTGTGGTTTTGGTATATGACATCCCCCCCTTCTGAATATTTCCCCTCTCTCTTATCTATGTCTTACACATTTCTGAAAAAGTTGCAAAGCCCATGCTCTAGGATCTTTGCTTTCCTCTCAAGATGAACTAAGCCCTCATGGAAAGTAGAAGTCCAATAGAATAGAATGGAATAGAATAGAATAGAATAGAATAGAATAGAATAGAATAGAATAGAGTAGAGTAGAGTAGAGTAGAGTAGAGTAGAGTAGAGTAGAGTAGAGTAGAGTAGAATAGAATAGAATAGAATAGAATAGAATAGAATAGAATAGAATAGAATAGAATATTTAACCAAATAAAATATTTTATTTGGTTAAATAATATAAATTTAACCAAATAAAATAAAATGAATGAATGAATAGAATAGAATAGAATAGAATAGAATAGAATAATAAAATACGGAATGGAATGGAATGGAATGGAATGGAATGGAATGGAATGGAATGGAATAGAATAGAATAGAATAGAATAGAATAGAATAGAATAGAATAGAATAGAGTAATAAAATACGGAATGGAATGGAATGGAATGGAATGGAATAGAATAGAATAGAATAGAATAGAATAGAATAGAATAGAATAGAATAGAACAGAACAGAATAATAAAATACGGAATGGAATGGAATGGAATGGAATGGAATGGAATAGAATAGAATAGAATAGAATAGAATAGAATAGAATAGAATAGAATAGAATAGAATAGAATAGAATAGAATAGAATAGAATAAACAGAGTTGGAAGGGATCTTGGAGGTCTTCTAGTCCAACCCCCTGCTTAGGCAGGAAACCCTACACCACTTCAGACAAATGGTTATCCAACATCTTCTTTAAAAACTTCCAGTGTTGGAGCATCCACATCTGGAGGCAAGTTGTTCCACTGGTTAATTGTTCTCACTGTCAGGAAATTTCTCCTTAGTTCTAAGTTGCTTCTCTCCTTGGTTAGTTTCCACCCATTGCTTCTCGTCCTGCCCTCAGGTGCTTTGGAGGATAGCTTGACTCCCTCTTCTTTGTGGCAGCCTCTGAGATTAAACTAAGGTTATTTTTAAAATTCTGGATTAATCCAGAACGGGAAATGCCATGGGTAAATTTGAAAATGTTGGTGTTTTTTTTTTTTCCCTTTTCTTTTAAATTGGGTGGGATAAGAACAGAAAAAGAGCAGAGAAGAGCAACAAAGATGATTAGGGGACCAGAGGCTAAATCATCCAGTGAATGATTGCAGGAACTGGGAATGTCTACTCTAACAAAGAAAAGGACCAGAGATGTCTTGATAGCCGACTTCCAATGTTTAAAGAGTTTTCGCAGAGAAGAGGGGGACAACCTACAATCCAAACCAAGGACAATGTTGTCAAGGAGATATCTAATCTAGAATTAAGGAGAAATTTCCAACAGTGAGGACAATTAATCAATGGAATGGCTCACCTTCAGAAGTCGTGGATGCTCCATCCCTGGAGACTTTCAAGAAGGGATTAGACATTTATCTGGGATGGGATAGGGTCTCCTGCTTGAGCAGGGGGTTGGACTAGAAGACCTCCAAGGTCCCTTCCAACTCTGTCATTCTGTTGTCTGAATTCACCCGGCAAAAGTGAAACCTTTTTTAATCTCAGCAATTTTATGATGAGAAGGAATACATTTTCATTGATGGGAATTTTTTAGAATTTAGAATGATGGATACGTGTTTTGGAGGTAATCAAGATATTTGTCATTAAGCCCGTCTCTTTTCAACCACAAAACCAAATTGTACCATATCTCTAGCTTAATGCCAATTATTAACCATAATTGGCTACTTTTTAATTTTTTTAAAATAAAGATTGTTGAATGGAGCTACAACCATGATTTCCAGCAATCTATCATTTCACATAAAATTAAATAAAACTAGGACAAAGTTTAATTTGATCCCTTTAAAGGCATCGCAGAAGATAGCGGTCCTGTGAACGCTATTGCTTATGTTAATTAAATAGAGCCTCCAGGGTCGGTGGCAATATACCTTTAACTGCTAAAGCGAGAGAAAACATCGGTTGAGAAAATTAAGCAGGGGGTATAAATGGAAGGCCTAGATTATTGGGAAATGATTTCCCCTGGAATGCAAGAGAAGAAATGAGCTGTAATTTTATTTCCCTTGCTAGATTTTGGTGATAGGTCTAACATGTGTTCAGTATGAAGCTACAAAGAGGCCAAGCTGGAAGGGTTCCAGCTATTGTACAACTAGTAAAATAAATGAACGTAAATAACATAAAGGCTATCAAGAAGTCTTCTGAGCAATATGCTTGGGGTGGCTCTTTGAAAGAAGGCTCCAACTGTTGCAATTTTAAGACTTAGCAATAGCAATAGCACTTAAGACTTATATACTGCTTTACAGCCCTCTCTAAGCAGTTTACAGAGTCAGCAAATTTGCCCCCAACAATCTGGGTCCTCAGACCCAGATCTGGGACCTCGGAAGGACGGAAGGCTGAGTCAATCTTGAGCCTGTTGAGATTCAAACTGCCAAATTGCAGTCAGCCGGCAGTCAGCCGAAGGAGCCTGCAGTACTGCATTCTAACCACTGCGCCACTGCGGCTCACTTCAACTCCCAGAATTCCACAGCCAGTAAATATACAGATTATAACCAGGGGTGGGATTCAGAAATTTTAGCAACCGGTTCTCTGCCCGATTGCTGGGGGGCATGGCCCTGGTGGGTGTGGCCTACTCGGCCTCCTACACCATGGGGGGGGGGTTCACCCTCCCCAGACTCTGGAGGCTTTCCTCAAGCCTCTGGGTGGGCGTAAATGGTCTTTCCTGGGCTCCAGAGGCCCTCCGGAGGCTGGAAATAGGCCCATTTTTGGACTTCCAGTACTTCCGGTAGGCTTGTTTTTTTGCCCTCCCCAGGCTCCGTAGGCATTTCTCGATTAAAATTAACATCCGGTTCGCCCGAACTGGTCCGAACTGGCTGAATCCCAGCCCTGATTATAACCAAGAATCGCAAGGAGACCACTGTAGCTTATTCCTATTACCAACCTGTTTTCTGGGGTTTAGCATGAGCCCCGATCCCTAAAATACTCCAACGAACTGTGACTGCACCCTAAACTAACCAAGATCAAAATTAAACCCAACTTTGCATCTTGGGTGAAGGCATCTGCTAGCTAGGACATCAGGTGGCCAGGTTCAGCATCTGAGCCCTTCAGTGAAGAGGCCATCTCCATTTTGATATGAGATGGTTTGGTTTGGCTTCTTTATTTGGTAATATGAGCAAGTTACAGAGGTCTCCTTGCTATATTTGGTTATAATCTGCATATTGGCCGACTGGGGAATTCTGGGAGTTGAAGTCCACAAGTCTTAAAGTTGCCAAGCTTGGACATCCAGGTTCTAGGACATGAGCGAAGTTAGCCAGATGCAAAAAGTCTCCCTTTACCCAAAGAAATACACAACTCCTACAAACACACACACAAATACAAACACACAGTGTTTATCTGCCAATTAGTATTCTTTGGAACTCTCCTGAAAAATCTCTATATATCTTGGTTGGGCTCTGATGTTTGTTGTCTCAGACACCAAACATTCATCATACAAAATGATGCTGAGATTCAAAAATGCTTCAGGCCCTCTAACCAGCTGGGACTCAGATGTCTTCTTCTCCAGCAGTGTTAGGCTAAGCAGCTGGGGAAGATCTGGAGGACTTTATGCATCAAACCTGACCAGGTTTCCAAGTCAACCTTTCTGTTGTTTCTCTTCCAACAGGTAAACATGGTTATTGGCATTCTGGTGTTTAACAAACTTGTATCCAAAGATGGAATAACAGATAAGAAACTGAAGGAACGGGCAGGGTAGGCGTTCTATCAATCCTTCCTCTAAGAAACCCATCAAAAAGTATATATTTAATGTAGATATTTTTCAAAGTCACTGTCGATAACCAGGCAGGAATGTTATGGCAAGAGATAAATGGTGATTTGGAAAAAGAAAACCAGCCCTCTGAGCACCTTATTTTGACTTGTGGCATGGAAGGAGCATGGAGTGACACCACCGGTGTGATTTGTTAAAAAGGCATAAATGCAGCACAAACCTCATATACTGTATGTCTACGGAGATTCTCAGTCATCCAAGTCATGGTTGTCCCAAAGGTACTTTTTTCAAGAGGCAAGTGGACTTTCTGGTTTTTCTTTGAAGACGTTCCGCTTCTCATCCAAGAAGCTTCTTCAGTTCTGACTGGATAGTGGGGAATGGAAGGATTTATACTCCTTGCAAACAGCTGGTCATTTGCATTCTTTTAGAGAGAGATTGAGGCCACATGGAGGTTTTGTTTGTCCATCCCAAGGATAAAAAACCCAGACACAAACTGAGTAACATAGTATACGCAGTATAATGCAGTGAGCCATGTGTGATCTGTACATTGGGGAAACAAAACAACCACTTCATAAGCGCATGGCACAACATAGGAGAACAAACCCATCAGGAGAAGATTCAGCAGTCCATCTGCATTTCAAAGGCAAAGGCTACTCTTTTGAAGAAAGCAAAGATCATGTTTTGGACAGAGAGGATAGCTGTTTTGAAAGAGGAGTCAAAGAGGCCCTCTATGTCAAAACCGAACAGCCCTCTCTCAACAGAAGGGGAGGGATACAACATCACCTGTCTCCTTTCTGCAACATGGTCCTTTCAGGAGTTCCAAGGAGGCTCCACAACCACCTTCACTACTCAGATGATCCTGAGGACACAGTTAAACCTCCAAGTGGCCTCAACAACTCTCTAAAAGGATGCAAATGACCAGCTGTCTGCAAGGAGTATCAATCCTTCCGTTCCCCGCCATCCAGTCAGAGCTGAAGAAGCTTCTTGGATGAGAAGCGAAACGTCTTCAAAGAAAAACCAGAAAGTCCAGTTGCCTCTTGAAAAAAAGCACCTTTGGGTTCTTAAACTGTACTGAGCATCAAGAATATATGAGACAGGGACAATGATGTGTCTCTGGAGGAAGATAAGATGATGAATTGCCCACATCTAAAGTAAAGATATCCTTCCATTTCACTATTTAGAGAAACTAGAATGAAAACTAGAGTGAAAGGTCTACTTTCACTCTTGTTTCTGAGGAAGCCTTGGCTTGTGCTCTTAGATATCATAGGGAGATCTGCAATCAATCCAAGTTTGAGATCTTCTAGCATAATTGTGACTCTCCTTCCAAAAGATGCCCAACCGATCATCAACGTTGGCCAGAATACCGTTTCTGGTTTCATAGAGGATGACATTTAGGGCAGAAGAATGATCACCTTTGAGGGTCTTGGTGCCCACTGAGCTTGACGGTTTTCGTTATCAAACTAAGGCACTGAGGATGTTCCCTAGTTTAGTCATGAAATGTCTGCAAGAAAAAAGCCCACCATGCTCAGAGATCACCAAGGACCCCACAATTCAAAACTGAGCTACAAATATTCTCTTCTGTTGATCTTGTGTTTTGGTGGAACTATCAGTTCGCTTACTCTACTCAATTCCAGATGATTGGAATGGAAGGCAATAGACCAATGTTTCTCAAATTTGGCTATTCTGCATGGACTTCAACTCCCAGAATTCAGCCAGCCTTCCTGGTTGTGGAATTCTGGGAGTTGAAGTCCACACATTGCCAGGGTTCCAAGTTAACACCCTCAATGAAAGAAGACTCCGAGGCTAGAAGTTCCTCAAAGTTCCATTTTATTAGGGATGTCATATTGGCACATCTCGGAAAACCCGAATCTGAAAACTTCCAGGTTCTTCCCACTCAAAAGAAAGTCCAAGTCCCTTCCCATGTCCATCACATGGTCTAATCAATGCACCGTCCCAACTGGAGATGCCTCCCAGTCACGCCACTCCAGGTTCAGGGCAGGATGTCCTTGACTCCCAGAGAAAAGAATGTTATTATGGCTAGATATCTCTCCGATTCCATGAAATTCTCCCCTCCCAGTTTCCCACAGCACTAAGTGTGGCAGCCCTGAAGATCCAAAGAGAAAAATGGCCTCCAGGACTGACACACATCTTAGAATGGCCGAGGTTGAGTAACACCGAATGAGATATAGCTAGGAGCTAGACTTCCTTATAGATTGCAAACATTGTGTAGCAGCAAAGATGTTTGAGATATCCCACTCACCCACCCCTATTTCACATCACTAGCCTTTCAAGCACAAAAATGCTTCTTAAAGCCTTCCCAAGGTGAACCAAGGCACCTTAAGTTTCTTTTCTGGAACCAACTCAAAATCTGGAAAGTTTCTTCTGAACATGATTCCTGAATCATTGGTGCTATTTAGGGCAGGTTGATTCCATGTGCTATTTAATCAATGGTGGGTTGCTACCGGTTTGGCCCGGTTCGGCCGAGCCAGTAGCGGTTACGATGTGACGTCACCGAACCGGTTCTCTTTGTTTGGGAGCTGGGCCCTCCCGCCTGCCCCCACGTTATTCCTACCTTTATTTCTTCTTTTTTAGCCCAGCTGATAGGCGCGGCAGAGTGGATTGCCACACCTCAGCTGGGCAGAAACCTTGTGCGGAGCTTGTGCAGAGCGATCACGCGTAAAGCTCATGCACGAAGAGAACCGGTGGTAACGCCAGTTGGAACCCACCGCTACATTTAATGCTTCTGCAATACAAGCCACAATCTTAATATACCCGTATTTTTCAGACTATCAGAAGCACCTAGATTTAGAGGAGGAAAACAAACAAACAAAAAAAATAGTTTTTGGCTTCTGCGCATCCCGTTTTTGCCCAAGAAGCACTTTGCAAATCTTCCGTGAATCCCAAAAATGTGCCCATTTTTCACCAAAAATGTGCCCATTTTTGGCCTGCAGAGTTCTTCTGGGGTCTGGAGGGGTGAAAATGGGATGCGTGGAGAGTTCTGGAGGCCAAAACCAGACCCATATTCGGTCTATAAGACGCATCAAAATTTTCACCCACTTTTGGGGGGAGGCAGTGTGTCTTATACTCTGAAAAATACGTTAAATTTGCAAATGCCTTCATATTAAATGGGGAGACAAGAGGAACAGGAACTAAGGCAGAATTTAGTGTGCAGATTCAACCTGGGTTATCCCAGGCTCATCCCAGAACCAACCCATTGTTTTCAAAGACGCATAGTTCCAGAATTGCGTTATGGGCAACGTTGTCCCACTAAAATATCACCAAAACCTTTAAATTAAATCCTGGTTTTGCTGGTTATCGACTGTGCTGAATAGATGCTGAAAATGCAGATGCTTTAGGAAAGGGGAGGGAACTGATTGTTTTTGTTTTTGTTTTTATGGCTTCCCGTTACGTTAATTTCGTTGCTCGCTTGTGAACCTGCTTAAAAGTTGTGCTTTTCAATGTGCAAATGAATTTGTGGGCAGAACATGATGATGTCTGGAGGGGTTAAGAGCCGTGTCATCCCTGATCACTGAACTGGTAAACTTCAGGCTGGAGGGTTTTTTTTTTTCTCTAAAACTACGTTGGAAAGTAAGAAGGGAGTAAATTTTGGAAGCAGCTTACAAGAGGTGTAACTTGTTGAGGAATTCGCAGAGCAACCCTTGAGTAGCAAGGGTGTGCACATGAAAAACGATTGAGAGTAGTTAGGAATAACACAGCTAATACACAGATACACTGAGTTGTGTTTACTTTCAGGAAATAGTAATAAGGCACAGTCCAATAAACAGTCCAGGTCATTCACATATAAAGCAGTAGATGGTTAAACAATAGTTCAAGGATAGTCCAATAACAAAGTCTTCTTACCAGTGGTTGTTGTCATACACGATTAACAGTTCTTCTATATCTGCAAACAGTAGCAAACACAACAAACAGCAAAGATATTAGCAAAGAGAAGCAAAGAGAAACAAACCAGGTTTCTAGCTCCCTTTTAAGGACATTGGCTACAGAGCTAATCAATCAGGACACACTATGATGCAATACAGCAACACAGCAGTCTTAAAGCTATATTTATGGTTTATATATTGCCAACCCAACAAGTTAAGTAAAATCATTTCCTAACATAACTATCCATGGCACCAAACGAAACAGGGTGTACTGTATGAACACAATCGAGCCCAAAATTTCCATTGCCAAGGGAAGCATTTGTTGAGTGAGTTTGCTCCGTTTTACGTCCTTTCTTGCCACGGGAAACGTTTGTTAAGTGAGTTTGCTCCGTTTTACGTCCTTTCTTGCCACCGTCGCTAAGTGAATCACTGCAGGTGTTAAATGAGTCAAATCATTGTTAAGCAAATCAGGCTTCCCCATTGACGTTGTTTGTCAGAAGGTCGGAAACGGGGATCACTGCGACCGTCATAATTGCCTCTGAATGTTGATCGACATGATTGCAGGGAACGCGACCATGGTTGTAAGTGTGAAAAATGGTCATAAGTCACTTTTTTCAGTGCCGTTGTAATGTTGGGCAGTCACCAAATGAACTGTCGTAAGTGGAGGGTTACCTCAGGTAGTCCTTGACTTACAACACTTTGTTTAGTGACCGTTTGAAGTTACAATGGCACTGAAGAAACGATTTATTACCCTTTTTCACACTTATGACCGTTGCTGCATCCCTGGCGTCACGTGATCAAAATTCAGATGCTTTTCCTCCCTCTCCTTCCTTCCTTTCCCCCTCTCCCCAGCTCCTCCCTCCATCCCTCCTGTTAAGGATATTCTTGACTCATAACCGATGTTGTGGGTTATTGAGCAGAGTATCCTTTGAGTAAACGCATGAAAAGCGACTGGGAGTGGTTGTGAACAATCACAGTCAACATACAAACACACTGAGTTGTTGTAGTCTTTTACTTTTAGAAAAAAGTAAAGCAAAGTCCAAAAACAATCCAAGTCATACACAGATAAGACGAGAGTTAAAAGATCAATCCAGGGATATTTCAAGTACAAAGTCTTCTTACCAGTTGTAGTCATACACAATAAAACAGTTCTTCTTGAGTTTCAAACAGGAACAAGTTCAATATCAAAACATTCAATAAATAGTAGAAAACAACATGTAGCTATGATCAAACAATGATCATGCAGAGAGATCAGGTAAAGAGTTACAGCAAATAAGCAGGTCAAATGGTGTAGTATCCACACAAGCCATGATCCTGATTTTCCTTAAGTACATTGGCTACAGAGCTTAGCCAATCAGGATACAGGATGATGCAATACAGTCTTAAAGCAATATAATACCTTTCGGACTGCAAACATACCTTGTTGGTTTATATATTGCCTGACCAACTAGTTAGACAAATAACCATTTCCTAACACCTCCCTTCTTTACTTCCCCGCTCCCTCTCTCCCCCTAGCTGCTATTTATGATGGTTGCCCTATCCTGAGGTCACATGATCCCCTGTTGGGACCGTCTGACAAGCAAAGTCAAGGGGGAAACCAGATTCGCTTAACGACAATTTGACTCATTTAACAACAACAGCGATTCGCGTCACGACCGTGGCAAGAAAGGTCGTAAAGCGAGACAAAATTAACTTCAGTAATGTTTCACTTGGCGACAAAGATATTTGGGTGGCTCAATTATGGCCGTACATCGGAAGACTAGCTGATTTTGGCCAGTCCGGAAGACACCTTGGATCTTGGTGGTTTTGCTACGTAGATCTGGTTTAAATAAGCCATGTGACACCAAAGCAAGATGGGAGTCATGGGCCAAGCTAAGCTCTAGTCCAGTGTTTCTCAACCTTGGAAGCTTGAAGATGGGTGGACTTCAACTCCCAGAATCCCCCAGCCAGCGCTGCTGGCTGGGGGATTCTGGGAGTTGAAGTCCATCCATCTTCAAGCTTCCAAGGTTGAGAAACACTGCTCTAGAACTTTCCTTTGTGGACCTTCAAGGTCCCCATTCGACCTTCTGGATCATGTTCAGCTATCAAAGCCAGGGCTTCGAAATTTGGGGGCAACCACAGAATGCAGGTCACAATTTGTATGGTCAAGTTTGCCTGGTCCATACTTTCCAACCGGGTTCTGTCCAGGTTCTTTGACACAGCCCGAGACCTCTTTGGGCAAGAGGGGAAGGGGTTGTGGCTGATGGTTTCCTGGGCCTGGTATCTTAAAAGTTGAGAGTGTTAACCCTTCCCTGTCCTGTTGTTTGGTTTCTCTCTTCCTTCCCCCCCCCCTCTCTCTCTCTCGCTGCTGGTGTTTGGGTTGGGGTTCTCATTTTGTTCAACTTTCTCCTTCTATTCTTTTTGTTGAATATCCTTCTTCGCTTCTTTTTCCTCCCTCTCTCCCCCTTCCCCTAGCTACTTACTCCTTTCCTTCCTCCCTCCCCTATCTCTCTCTCTCTCTCTTTCTCTTTCTCTTTCCTTCTTTCTTTCTTTCTTTCTTTCTTTCTTTCTTTCTTTCTTTCTTTCCTTTCTTTCTTTCTTTCTTTCCTTCCTTCCTTTCTTTCTCTCTCTCTTCTTTCTTTCTTCCTTCCTTCCTTCCCTCCCTCCCCCTCACACATTTCTTCCCTCCTTCTCACACATTTCTCTCCTTCCTTCCTTCCTTCCTTCCTTCCTTCCTTCCTTCCTTCCTTCCTTCCTTCCTTCTTCTCTCCTTCACTTTCCCTAGCTACTTCCTCCCTCCCTTCTTCCCTCCCCTATATCTTTTTCCTTCCTTCCTTCCTTCCTTCCTTCCTTCCTTCCTTCCTTCCTTCCTTCCTTCCTTCCTTCCTTATTTTTCCTTCTTTCTTTCTCTTTCTTTCTTTCTTTCTTTCTTTCTTTCTTCTTTCTTTCTCTCTCTCTCTTCTTTCTTTCTTCCTTCCTTCCTTCCCTCTCTCCCCCTCACACATTTCTTCCCTCCTTCTCACACATTTCTCTCTTTCCTTCCTTCCTTCCTTCCTTCCTTCCTCCCTCCCTCCCTCCCTCCCTCCCTCCCTCCCTCTGCCCCCCTATCACCTCTCCCCTCCCCCCCGTTCTGTTTGTGCTCACCAGCAAAGTGTTTTGTTTCGTTTCAGTCTTTTAATTTTAATTGCAGTCAGATGGCCGTGCCCCTTTACGGCATCACGCTCAAATGTTCCAAGTGTGGAGTGGTGTCTTCTCCCGACGTTTCGGCCACAGCCACCAGTAACGCCATGTTAGTTCCTCTAATTTCAACTTCCTTTCTTTTTCTGATGAGGAGTATTGATTGATTGGAGTTAGAGGTTTCTTCCATGCCGCTTTTCCACCTCTGATTTCTTTCCTTCCTTCTAGTTTTTTTTTTTTCTCCCCTTGTTCTTCCCTTGGTTCACATTCAGGTGTCAAATTTGTTAAAATCTATCCCTTGGCAGGGTCCCCCTCCCCCCACCCCTCTCTCTCTAGCTTAAAATCCTGGATCTTTTGCAAGATAAAATTGTTAAACACCTGTACAGGTAATCCTCGACTTACAACCGCAACGGAGCCCAGAATTTATGTTGCTGAGCAAGAGTGAGTTTTTGCTCCGTTTTACGACTTTTCTTCCCATGTTCCTTAAGTCAATCCCTGCAGTTATGAAGTAAGTAACATGGTTGTTAAGGGAATCTGGCTTCCCTATCAACTTTGCTGGTCAGGGGGCGCAAAAGGGGACCACCTGACCCCCGGGGGAACCCTACAACCGTCATAAATATGAGTCAGTTTCCAAACATCTGATCATGTGCTGCACAGGTCATAAGTATGAAAAACAGCCATACATCACCTGTTTTTACAGTGCTGTTGTAATTTGGAACGGTCACTAAACAAATGGTTATAACTCGAGGACCCCAGGGTCAGGTGATCCCTTTTTGTGACCTACCGACCTTCCCAACTGTGCTACTGACTTAACAGCCGTAGCAATTCGCTTAACGACTGTAGCAAGACAGGTCTTAAAACGGGGCAAAGCTCTTTTAACAACTGTCTCGCTTAGCAACAGAAATATTGGGCTCAATTGTGGTCGTAAATCAAGAATGACCTATAAATCCTCTCCCCCTTTTAAATGTAAATTTTAATTTGTTTTAAATTACGGGGTATTTTAAATTCAGCCAAATTATTTAATTCATTTTTATTTGATTTTAAATTTTTGTATTTATGTGTTTTTATCTTGTGGCTGGTCACCGCCCTGAGTCCTTCGGGAGAAGGGCGGTATAGAAATTTAATAAAATAAAATAAATAATATATATATATATATATATACAGTAGTGGCCAAAATTGTGGAAAGCTTTTGGGAAAAGGGCATTTTCTAAAACTAGCTAATAACACCATTTTTTTTTTTTTTTGGAGTAGAACCATAAAATTATATATCAGTGGAAAAATAATTTAATCAAGAATGTAATGCAATAACTTTTAGGAAGGATTTGCTATCAGAATAGCAGTTACAGTATAAAAAAGAAAAGTGAAACATGTAGAAAAAACGAAATAAACAAAAATGATCCCCATGTCAGTTAATCCTTAGTTGGGTGACTTTTAACATGAATTAAGGCCTTACAACGTCTTCCCATGGAGGGAACCAAGTCTTTGAGTTCTGCAGCTGTTCTAATGTGAAACCAAGATTGAAGGATGGCTTCTATTAACTGGGTTTTATTGCTGGGTGGCTTCTGACTAACAAGTTTCTTTAGTCGGCTCCCTAGATTTTCCATTGGGTTAAGAAGGTCTGTGCAATTCCCAGGCCATTCCAGCACTGGAATAGGATTATCTTGAAACTGCCCCCCCCAAAAAAGTGGTGTTATTAGTCATCAAATCTCAAAAATACACTTTTCCCAAATATATATATATGGTCCCAAAAATATATATATGGTCATTTTTCAGGTGACTCATGGCAGGGGTTGAAATGTGACCTCCCCAAAATCTGCCTTGCACCCCCTTTGTCCCCTGCCCTCCAGAGAAGCCCCCCTCCCAGTCCCCCAAGAAGACACCGAAACCTTGGGGGTAGCTCTGCTCTCTCAGCTCCTTTCTTGTTCTTTCATGTTTCGCCTCCACCTGGCCGCTGCTTCCCATTTCATGCCTGGAACCATCTCCTCGTTTTCTCCTTAATGCCATCTGAGGACTCAGTGGTTTGTGTCTCGCTTGATTCTTGCTCCAAACCAGCAGTGTCTACAAGGGTTGGTCCCCAAAGTTCAAAAGTCTGCCCGTTTTTCGATTTGAGACATGGTTTTTTTTGTGTGTGTGACCATTCCCTGAGTGCTGAAGTCTTCACTTGCTGGTTGTCCTGTCCGTCACAGATACGGTCCTTCTTCTCAGAAGGCTCTGCTAAATGTATATAGACGATATCCAGTCTCGGCTCTATTTTACACCAGTTCCTCCTCCTCCTCCTTCCCTGTCACATTTTAAAGCTTTCTCGAAACCTCCTGTGTTCTGCCTTTGATTATATCTCTGTAACCAACCTCTTTTCGGTCATCTCCTTCCTTCTGTCTCACATCATCACCTCCTACTTTCTTTCTTTCTTTCTTTCTTTCTTTCTTTCTTTCTTTCTTTCTT